TCTGGCTTGTGCCATTTTGGTCACACAACGATGAATCTACACAACTAGAACCAATCTGATAATGAAATGTGTATCACTTGTCTATAATACATGGGATATAACTTTTTTCTGTGAAAGTAAATATATATGTATGTTAACAGTCTGAAACAATTAATAAAAGTTCCTCATAATTTATGTGAAAGTTAAGATAATTATAAGTTTATAACCAGTCTGAAGCAATCAATATTTGTTTCTTTCATGTCTGTGATAGTTAACACAAGTTTATGACTAGCCTGAAACAATAATTAAAAATTGATAACCTCACTTGTGATAGTATAATACAAGTTTTATAGCCAGTTTGAAACAAGCGATAAGTTTTCCTAACATGTCGGTGATAATAAATATAATTGTTATATGTATAATCATGCAGTTTTAAACAATGTTATTTTTCTGTTACATGTCTGTGAAAGTTAAAACAAATTTATAACCAGTCTGAAGCAATGATTAAAAATGCATAACCTGTCTATAATAGTAAATACAGGTGTAATTATTGACACTGAAGTTGGGTCTGAAACAATGTAAATACATATATGCAAGCAATGTTCATGATCTGTGAAATTTAGTACTTGTGTATTACCAATCTTAAACAATAAATTAATGTCCATAACCTAAAGTAAATTTGTTATTTTAAATTCTTGTGAATTGCATGTGTAATAATTGTGAAAATTGATGTAATATATCTGCGATAATATAAACATTTAATCCACATACATTTATTGTTAAAAAGAGTTTTCATAAGTAATTTTGCAAGCATTGTTTTAAGTGTTTGAATTCAGGAACCCGCTATCAAAGGCATCTGATCGTTTTTGTAGGTGTAGTAATTCAATTTGATAAAATTACTGAAAATAAAAGAAAATCAGGGAAGACATTACAGATCTAAACATTTTAATGACTAAACAGTGAGTTATACATGCAGGAATTAGTTTCCTTCCGTTTTGAATTACACATTAATAACCTTTTCTCCACCACTTACCCCTATATACCTCCTATTTCTTTTTAAAATAATGTAAATCCCGCTCCAACTTGTCGTATATTTGTTGACACTGAAATTCTACTTTCACTTTCACATACTTCATTTCCGGTTACAAAAATAAGAAACTATGCGGCTTTCGATTAGGTGCTATACCATTCACAGCTGCCGTTTGCCGGACTCACCGGAAAGGAGGACGCGGCAAACAACTACGCCCGAGGACATTGCACCATCGGGAAGGAGTACGCCGACTCCGTTCTGGATCTTGTTCGGAAGTTATCCGACAATTGTTCCGGACTACAAGGTTTCCTGATATTCCACAACTTTGCAGGAGGAACTGGTTCTGGCTTCGCGTCCTTGTTAATGGAACGTCTGAGCGTTGATTACGGCAAGAAGTCAAAAATGGAGTTTGCGGTATATCCCGCGCCGCAGGTGTCCACTTCTGTTGTGGAGCCCTACAACTCAATCCTCACTACCCATACCACTTTGGAGCATTCCGACTGCGCTTTCATGGTCGACAACGAGGCTATCTATGACATTTGTAAACGTAACCTCGACATTGAGAGCCCGTCGTATATCAACCTAAACCGGATCATCAGCCAGATTGTAAGCTCCATAACAGCCTCACTCCGGTTTGACGAAGCCCTGAATGTAGACCTTAACGAATTCCAGACCAACCTGGTCCCTTACCCTCGTATTCACTTCCCCTTAGCAACCTACGCTCCAATTATTTCTGCAGAAAAGGCTTACAACGAACAGTTGGGAGTAGGTGAAATCACTACAGCCTGTTTTGAACCCCAAAACCAAATGGTGAAATGTGACCCTCGAAACGGGAAATACATGGCGGTCTGTTTGCTTTACCGAGGTGATGTCGTGCCGAAGGATGTCAATAAAGCCATTGGAACCATTAAGACCAAACGATTAATCCAGTTCGTAGACTGGTGCCCAACAGTCTTTAAGGTCGGAATCAACTACCAACCTCCAACTGTAATCCCTGGGGGTGTTCTGGCAAAAGTACAAAGAGCCGTCTGCATGTTGAGTAACACAACAGCTATCGCCGAAGCCTGGGCCCGTCTGGATCACAAGTTCGACCTTATGTACGCTCGCCGTGCCTTCGTCCATTGGTATGTAGGAGAGGGCATGGAGGAAGGCACGGCGAGCGTCATTCTGGTTACCTTTTATACTACTGATGAGACTTTAGACATGGGTTGTCATTCTGTTGACCTTATATACTACTGATGACAGTTATCAGTAGTATATATGGTCACCAGAATGACAACCCATGTCTACAGTGTCATCAGTAGTATATAAGGTCAACAGAATGACAACCCATGTCTAAAGTCTCATCAGTAGTATATAAGGTCAACAGAATGACAACCCATGTCTACAGTGTCATCAGTAGTACACAAGGCTTTCAATGTCAGTATAGTCAGATGTCAGATAATATCGAGTCATTTCGTGCAAATAGCACTCTGATACTGCAGGCAGTCAGAGGGACGGGTTTCATGTTAACACATTCCGCCCCTTAATACTGCAGGCAGTCAGAGAGACGGGTGTCATGTTTACACATTCCGCCCCCTAATTCTGCAGGCAGTCAGAGGGACGGGTGTCATGTTTAGACATTCCGCCCCCTAATACTACAGGCAGTCAGAGGGACGGGTGGCATGTTTACACATTCCGCCCCCTAATTCTGCAGGCAGTCAGAGGGACGGGTGTCATGTTTACACATTCTGCCCCCTAATACTGCAGGCAGTCAGAGGGACGGGTAGCATGTTAACACATTCCGCCCCCTTAGAAATGGGGTTATAAAGATGACTCAGCTGGTGGCCCCCTCGTCTCTCTTCACATATTCCCTTTCCCTTCAAACAAAGGTGGATTCTTTAATTTTCCTACAGACAATCTTCCAGTTGACTTTACCGCGTTTAAGAATCGAGTCTCTGGTCTTTTGCACTCGTTCCTTGACAAAGAAAATATTTTTCATTTGGCCTATTTAGAGTACATATTTAACATTATAAACATCACAGACAACAAAACCTCTCGCTTAATGGGATATGTTGATGTATCTATTGAAAGACAACCAAAGCTCTTATCGGGGATGGATTAACTTCGTAGACAATAAACACTGCTGAATACCTCAACATGTTTCAAATATATAAACAATTCCATTAAAAGGTGGAGAATTATTGTAAATGAAAATTTCTTTTTTTCTTTTTACTAAACAAATTCAATTTTCAAAAGATTTTTTTCAATTTTATGCATTTGTTTTTAGCTCACCTGCCCGGAGGGTAAGTGAGGGCAAGTGTGCTTATGCCATGGCGCAGCGTCCGTCGTCCGTCGTCGTCCGTCGTCAATTTTTTCTTTAAAACATATCTCCTCCTAAACGCTAAAGAAAATTTCAACTAAATTTAGTCTGAAGCATCACTAGGGGTGGGCAATCATTTCTTAAATAAATGAAGTTGATTCGACCCTTGAGGCCAGGGCCGCGGCCCTGAAGTGGAACTGAGCTAAATTTGCTTTAAAACGCATCTCCTCCTAAACACCAGAGAGAATTTGAACCAAATTTAGTCTGAACCATCAGTAGGAATGGCCAATCATTTCTTAAATAAATGAGGTTGGTTTGACTATTGAAGCCATGGGGAAGGGGCCCTGAAGGGGAAATTAGCTATATTTGCTTAAAAACGCATCTCCTCCTAAACGCCAGAGAGGATTTCAATTAAATGCAGTCTGAAGCATCAATAGGGGAGGGCAATCATTTCCTAAATAAATGAGGTTAGTTCGACCCCTGAGGCCAGGGGGGCGGGACCCTGAAGAGGAACTTAGCTAAATTTGCTTTAAAACGCATCACCTACTTAACGCCAGGAGGGATTTCAACCAATTTTAGTCTGAAGCATCACTAGGGGAGGGCAATCATTTCTTAAATAAATGAGGTTGCTTTGACCCTTGAGGCCAGGAGGCTGGGCCCCAAAGAGAAAAATTATCTTATATTTTGCTTTAAGACGCTAATATCCCCTAATTGCCTGAAAACATTTCTTAATTGAATGAGGTTGATTTGACCCCTGCGTTCCTAAGAAATGGTACAGCTAGATTATCATATTCTAGGGTGTAGTTTTTATAAATATATTACTTATTTCAAACATGTTAACTGTTAACATGGCAACTCAATGAAGGCCCCTGATTACTTGAAAGTCAGATAGTGTGGTCCCAGTTTGGTTAGAACATAGATTTTGTCTGGAATTGAGGAAATTTCAAATAAAGATGTACTAATGCATTCAATTGTAATAACTTTAATATAAAACCAGGTGAGCGATACAGGTCCAATGATTTTATCATTAATATTTATTATTTGTGTGTTAGAGTAAATGCGGTTAGCATTATTATTGTTATCGTCTGTTTAAGACAATAGAATACCCTTGTTATCAGGGATCAGAAGATAATGTGATGACTACTCCATACAATAGATACCACATCGACGGTGGCTGATTCATCTGACCTTCTGAATCTACCTAGAAAGCACTGTAGTCTTCCCTTGGTCAATAATAAATAAGTTTCAACAAGTTTTGGTGAATATCTTTCTCTATCACGAAAAGAGGTAATCAGAATGTCATTGTCGTTATATCTGAGACAGAGAGGTACCCTCTGTGTAGACTTACATCGATCAAGAATATATATACTAACCGTGATGCAGGGCTACAATACTAAGCCTTAGAAACGATTAAGCTGGAAAATATGCATCACAAGTTTCTTAAATTTCCTGTTATTTGCTTTTGATTGACCTGATTCGTTCGGGAAAGGAAACTAGAAGTTGTAGGTGCAAACTAAGGAATTCTGTATCTTCATGTACTAACAGTGATCAGGTACTTGGTGGTTTTTACTCCCGTGGACTATCACACTGACAAAATAGCATCTACTACAAATATACGGAGTCATATATTTCACTTGAATTACAAAAATGTGTTGTAAAGGTTTCGAAAAGCTTTTCTGGAAAACAAAAATGCCAATAATTACAACTGGACTAGTGTTGATCTTAGCCAATATACTACAACTAGTGGGTGTTGTCTCACCGGAGTGGGACATGTTTGATACACCGTACTTTGGTTCCAAAATTAAACTCTACCAGAATCTATGGACAATTCACGACGAAATCAAAGACAAATCTATTCGAGAGGGATTGTTACCACCATTGATAAACACAGGTAGGTGAACAATACCAAGGATAAAAAATACTAATATTATTCAAAACTTTTTCTCGCCGTAGATATTGCCTTTGTTCCTATGTTGCTGTATCACTTCTGTGGACTCCATGATGTCTAGGTTGTCCGATCTGTTTTACTTACAATGCCTGAAAGCTATAGTAAATAATATTCTGGTCTACATAGTAAATAGCATTTTATTATGTAACGTCTGGATTTTATAAGTCAGTTCGTCTATGCATACTTCTGGACTTGTCTATCATGGCTGGAAGTTTATAATAGATAAGGCTGTTCTCTACAGCATAACGGATTTGATATGTTGACTTGTATAGCGATCGAGTTAGTATATAACCCGTTGACTGAATGACACAATTGTACATATATTAATTATAACATGTGTACTTTTAGTACTTTTTAATACAGTAATCATAACGTGTTTGTGCAAATCATACCAACATATAATTGAACAAATGCCTACCAATCCGTACATTGTGTGTGCTTCATGGTGACTAGCCTCTACAGTAGAACGCTTTATTTACAGAGTGGAAAGCCAGAATCGTCAGACTGGAGGTCAGTGCGTTGGTGACCGGTGTCCTTGCGCTTGTCCTAGTTATCAGTACAAACGTCCTGAAAGTGTCGTCAAGGAGACAAACCTTTCTGGTCACCTGTTATGTTCTAGCGGTATTGCTAGCATGCTCGTCTGGTAGGTCACTTTCTCCTTATCAGTCTTGTACTACAATCTTGGCGTGTAATGGTCATCAGTCTTTTCTAACATACTGTTGGAATGTATGTTTGTCTCTTACGTGAATTCTTGCAAAATCATTACTTTAACATGATTCAAGTTAAAATACAAATATATTTACCATTCTTCAAAAAGACAATTGTGTGTCGTAATCAGAAGTACAGTTGATAAACTCTCTGCATTATAATCAACAAGTCCAGGGATCAAATCCCCATGATGATGATGTCTTAGAAAAATAGTCTTTGTAACTCTTGAGGAAACTGGCTCCCACCGGAATAATTGAACAAGAGCCCCACAAGCCTATATTGCTCACCGAGGTTTTTTTTAGTGAATCACGGCAAAACATTATCTGCAAATATTACGATACCAACATTTACAAATATCTTATCTGTCTCTCAGCAACATACTTACATTGTGGGTCCTATCCCTCTGTCCCCAAGTGATTGGGGCATTGTTTATACAATATTGAATCATAATGGAAGGATACTATACATCACATTTAATTAAGATCGCTTTTTCTGTATGGAACAAAAGTTCAGATTTATCTCTATTTGTCCTATCGCGACACGCTCCACTGCCCCCAGGGGAATCACACCCTCAAGTTACATAAAACTGAGTCCGTGTTGCTCAAAGATTTGTCTAAAATCCCTACATTCTTACAGAAGGATTAGCCACTATTTCCCCTTCTTGTGTCCAACCCATTTGCCCCTTGGGGCCACAACATCTGTTTATAATAGAAAATGGAGTCCTTTTTACTCAAGGGTGCTCTATACCAAATTCGGTTTACATCCCTCCACTAGTACAGAAGACGGATTTGTAACAGGTATTCCCATGTTCCCACTACTGAGCTCCACCCTTCTGCTCCCAAGCGGAGCAACTGCATTTGATTATACAAAGTTGTTTTCTCCTTGCCCTAAAACACTTACATTTGTGAACATAGTTTAAATCTCTCCGTTGGTATGGTAGAAGAAGCATTTTTAACATTTTTTCACTATGTTACCCCTATTTTTTCCACACTCTCAGTTTATGCAAAATTGAATTCCCTCGCACAAGGATGTTCTAGAAAAAACTGGTTGAAATATCAACATTTGTACAAAGGGGGAAAACATGTATCCCCATGTTCGCCCTTATGGGCTCTGCCTCCAGGGGAGCAACACCATCTACGAAATAGAATTTCCCATGCCAAAGGATGCTCTAGTTTGAATCAAGTTAATTTAGTCCCCTTTCCGCAAGGATGCTCTGCACCAAATTTGTTTCCAACCCC